GTCTCCAACAAGGGACCAAGCATTCACATGTGAGTCAATGAGGGATATGCTTCATTCTAACCACTGACTACATTCCTTAAACTATGGACACAGCTTTTTCTCTTCTTCTCCTCCTCTCCCTCCTCCTCTTCCTCTTTCTTATTTTTCTATTTATTTTTTGGGACAGGGTTTTTACGTGTAGCCGGCCTCAAACTCACAGAGATCTGCCTGCCTCTGCCTCCCAAGTGATGGAATTAAAGGTGAGCATCACCACCACCAGGGCTTGGACAGTTTAAAAAAAAAACCTTGATTGATTGCATTTGGCTTACTTTAAACTTTTTCAAACTACAGTAGAATTTCAAGGGGGGACAGAGAGAGAGAGAGAGAGAGAGAGAGAGAGAGAGAGAGAGAGAGAGAGAGAGAGAGAGAATTAATTTTTAGGAAATGTTAGCAGTGAATAATTTCATTTGGAATGTTGTGTATTTTCCATCAAGTGACAGTAGAGCCAGTTTTATAAATGTCAGTTGAACAGAGAGCTGAAAAAGTGAGTGTGTGTGTGATTTGTATATCCAAAATTACTACCCTTAAAGATGTATGCTTCCTATATCAAGACCATGCAAGTAGTCTTTACAGACACCAGCAAGGCTAGAGAAACATCCTTTGTCTTTACTATTTGGAGGGATCTTGACCAGTCACCACCCCCCCCCAATTTCATACCTTCTATTTCTTAACTCCTAATATCCCCCAGATGGAAAAACTCTCTCTTCCACCCATGTTTCCCAGGCCTGTGAGTGGCAGCTTTCTTCAAGCAGACTTGCCCAGGTGCTATTGCCCCATGTGGTTCATCTCTTCTCAGAACTGCTGCAGAGCCTAAGTTTCCTCTACATGCCACAGGGATGATGCCGAGCAAACACCCTTGCTATGTCTTAGAAACTGTAGAGACTTTCCCTAGAAAAGAGACTGCATGCCTGCCATAATACCACACCCTTAATACACTTTTAGACGACTGTAGATTTTCTGATGTCCCTAGACAGGGACTGGTGGAGTGTCTAGTATGATACTTTGTCTCCAATGGAGAAAAGAGCTTGATATTTGCATTCTAAGACTTTCTAAGTCAAGCCTGAGTCTGTTGGTCAGTTACTTTCTCTGAACTCCATTCTGCTGTAACCAACATGAACATAAACATAATATCTTGAAAGTTGTTGTAAGATTTGAACAACAAAAGTGTGGGAAAGCTACAGACACACAGTAGATACTCCATAACATGCTGGTGTTCTTCATAAGTACCAGGAACATAGTATTATTCCCACATGTTGATGGGTCATCAATGAACATCCTTGGGTGCTTACTCTATGCCAGGATGTGTTTATGTGCTTTCAGTTAAATTAAACTCCTAGGTAAACCCTAGGCTCCAAGTAGGCTGTGTATGTCCTGCCATTGAGATCATGGTTTCCCTCACTGTAGTCCCTACCTGCACCTGAATGGGTATGAGGATGTTCAGCATAGGCTTGATCCATTCTTGGAGGGTAGTTGTGAACAGTGGCATGTTTTCTATAAAACCAAAAGTAAGAAGAAGTTGCTGCCACATTGTTCTCAGATGATACTATTTTAAGGAAGAAGGTTCCACGGGGGCTCCGAGCACCTTCTGCATGGCTGTATTCTCTGCAACATAGACCCCTGTAGCTGTGGAAGAATGACAAGCAGCTGACAACCCTTGAAACAGAAGCAGCATGTTATAGGAGGGCGCAGCTATGACGTCACTGGATAGAACGTGCAAGCCAGGTTTCCCAGCTCTGCAGAGTACACCCCTGGACTGCCAGAGCAAGCAGCTCTGGCACCCATATGTCTATTCTGCCACGGGAACTGTGACTCAGTGTATCCTCAGATATCCTCTTTGAAGCAGCCACTCTGAGCCAGAGGAGAATTTTTCTTGTCTTCACTTGCTCTTAGCCATGATGTCTTTATTTACCCACTGTGATCTTCGTAGTTTTTGAATACTGAATCTCGAAAGAGACTATTTTTACTTCCTGCTCTTTGATTCTGCCAAAGCTCAGATGCAAAAAGTCTTCCCCAGCTACTGGCCTGATGGCCTCCACTTCATACCTTGCTTGCAATCAGCCCTTTGCATTCTCTTTGCTCCAACTTAATTATGTCAGTATTGCATCCTCCAGCAGAGTGTGAAATGATATTCTTTTATTGACATAAAATATGTCTAATCTCAAATATTAATCTATCTCAATTAAGCTGTCTCCTTAGTACTGTGGTGCATAGCAGTGTGCTCATGTAGGAGCTGTCTGAACAGACTGGAGAGTCTCTGTCACCAAGGATTTAGGTGAGGGGGCTTTCTAAGTGAGTTCAGGGTTCAGTTTAAAAAATACCGTGGTGAAATGGGGAGGTAGCGCAGAGAGAGCATATTTATGGGCCTGGGTTTGATTTTGAATGTGTGCATAATAGATAGATAGGTAGATTGATTGAGAGATGATAAATAGTAGATCGATATATCAGTCGATTGATAGACAACAGATAGATGAATGATAGACAGACAGACAGATAGATAGATAGATGTATGTCTCTATTTGATGACCATCTTTGTGATGTGCTGATTCACTTGGTAGACTTACCTAAATGTGAATAAATTCTCCTGTATTTTTCACCTTGAGTAAATGTTCCAAGCATTACACATTTTTCTCATGAAAATGATGACATGAACTATTTCTATAGGAATTTAGGGATCTTGCATTGCATTTGAAAGACATGCTTCCAAGGTTCCATAGGAACAGAATTAACCCCTAGTAGTACTTCATGCCCCTGAGTCATTGTTCCAGATGTACCTGGGTTGCAAACCCACACATCTAGAATCCCAGATAACTGAGCATGGCTAGTGTAAGAATTGTGTTGCAAGCTATTTACTATAGTTAGCCAACCATCTCAAATAATCTTACAAAGTTAAAGTTCTACAGGCAACATTTGGGGATATCTCTATATTTATTTATTTTGGGCTTTTACAATTTCAAAGGCTTGGCATATTTCCCATGTAGGGATGGATTCTGGAAGGACCATCATTTTTAAAACAGGAGTTTAGAAGGAAGTGAATCTGAGACACTCAAAGCAGCAAAATAAGGAAGTTAAGACTATTTAACTTCCATTAAGTTGTTAGGTACAGGGGCCAGCCTACTATTAAATGAATCATCTTCCTCTAAGAAGTGCCTCCAACTCAGAACTGGAATCTCTCATTAAAATGTGGTCTAAGAGGGCTTGCGAAGACTGCCTAGGACAGGATGGACCGTACCCATCCTGAGCTGTATGTCTGGCAGTTTGTGGTATGTAGGGCTTGCTTGGATGTGTTTTCATAGGAAATGGTGAGAAAGTGGGGGATGAAAAACAGAATGGCAGGAAGGATAGGAAAGATATTTCTTCAGAAGAGAGAAGTACAGTGTATCTATCCATTGGCCTTCTCTGGAGAGCTACATGCAGCCTACCAAACCCATCTTCCAGCAGAAATTCCTAAGTGTGTCTAAAGGCTTTTGGGATGATCATGACAGTAGTGATGATGGTGTTAAGTACCATCATCATCTATAAAACAGGTAGATGAAGTTCTTCCAAAGAGCATGGGCCCTTACCTGCTTCCAGCCCCATAAATATGGGGAATGAATGGGATGCATAGGTGAGTAGCCTCCTCAAAAGACAGTTAACATCTTAGTCTGAGAGATATGGAAAATTTGCTGTTTACTTCAAAAAATAAGCCATTCCTATTCTTTCAACTTTAGGCTAAGGACTGTAGATATGTAACAGATGTATGTCTCTCTGCTGATCTTACTTGCATGTGTGCATGTCTCAGGCTACTATTTCTTTTCATCTCTATTGATGTTATTTTATGTGTATGAGTATTTTGCCAGCTTGTATGTATATATACCATATGCCTGCCTGCTGCCCATGGAGGTCTAAAGAGGGCATAAAATTCCTGGAACTGGAGTTACAGAGTTGTGAGTCACCATGTAGACGGTGGGGATAAAAACATTGTCCTCTGCAAGAGCAATAAGCCCCTGAGGCTGCCGTTTTACTGAGAATGACTTTCTTGATATTATGCCTTTCATTTCTTTTAAAATTACATTTACGTGTGTGTGTGTGTGTGTCTGTGTATGTGTGTGCATGTACACGCACATATACACTCATAAGTAGTTGTCAGTTTATACATCAGCAGATGGAGTTGGACTAGTTCCCCGCCTTCCACTGTGTAGGACCTGGGAATTGAACTCAGGAGTTATAATTTGAGAAATCTCACCTTTAACATGCATCAAGAGAGTCCCTGAGACCTGAAATCTGTTTCCTGAACTCATTCTCACAAACGTTAGGAAATTTAAGCCAGGCATGTTGGCATACACCTGGACACTAAGGTGGGAGAACTGTGAGTTCAAGGCCAGTACGGACCACATAGGAAATCTGGACTACATAGCAAGTCTGAGATAGATGGTGGGAGTGAGAAAGAAGAGGAAGGAAGAGAGGGAAGAAACATTTAAAAAGAACACAAGAGAGAAGATAAAAGAGAGACCTTTGCTATTCCTGGCAGATATTTTAATGATAGCCTATCTGTCATACTTATCCAGTGACATGATTTGTTCTATACCAGCAGGAAACGAAGCGAGGCAGAGGTGTCAGCTGTGTGGTTACAGGGACTTGTAAAAGGGAAAGGGAAGCATTTCATAGAAATAGCCAAAATTCCACTTCAAAAATGTTTAAGTTGTTTTATCATCATCATCATCATGTGAATGAGATACATAGTGCAAGTGGGTTCTTCAGAGACCTTGTGACCCACACATCCATCACCACTGTACTCTGGACAACCCCACCTCAGGCTTACTTAGCTCCCAGCAGCTCGGGGATGAGCAGTGAGATGACAGTGAGATCTCCACTTGATGGAGCTGCCCTCCTCTTGGTCCTCAGGACGTGAAGGTGGAGCTGTATGCATTTGAGTCAGCTTTTCACATCCCTGATTATATTTGTTTTTGTGTTGTCTTTTCTAGGTTTGCTGGCATGGGAAACTTGCTCAAAGTCCTGACCCGGGAAATTGAGAATTATCCACACTTTTTCCTGGATTTTGAAAGTAAGTTCTGAGCATTGTAACACAATAATGAAAGCCTTGCACTTGCTTTATAGCTTGTTCATAAGGAAGTTATAGAGGTTTTGTATGAGGCTCAAAGCAAATCCAAATGGCAGCATGCATTTCTTTCTAAGTAGTCTTCCCTCACCCTTTCTTTATGAATTTTAAGAACCTAAAAGAAGGTTTATTTTAATTGGCCCATAGTTTTCTTTGATTTTATAAGAATTAGCTTTGGTATGATATATATAAAGCTTTATCATGCATTGTTAAGAGTGATTTTCCAAACAAGCCTGGTCCCAGAGCCGCACCAGCCCCAAGTAACACACAGAGATGCTGTATTAGATATAATGCTATTGGCCTGTTATTAGCATTTCTTATTGGCAGCTCTGTCTTAAATATTAACCCATTTCTATTAATCTAAGTATTTCCACGTGGTCTTATCTTATAGGAGAGAGGGGCCGGAGTTCTGCTCTCTCTGTCCTACATGTTGAATCTCCTCCCTACTATTTCCCAAATCCTCCTTGTCTCCTAGTCCCACCTATCCTGCTTTCCTATTGGCCAACAGTGCTTTATTCATTAACCAATAAGAGAAACATATTTACAGGATGACATCTCCCATCAATAAATCTTCCCTAAGATTTTATACATAGTACTATTCCACATTCCAAAGAAAAATGGCAAACACATTAACTGACATGGGCAAGCATTAAGTACCATTATACTTGCAAAGAAAAATGTGACTACCATCAGAAATTATGCTTGTTAGTTTTAACCAATGCCATCTTTTTTCTATGTATTATTTAATTGTTTAAAATTATTTCTTGATTTTTGAAATGTGCATTTTGCTTAAAATGCCATTGGCCTGGCTTTTATTTTCTGCCTGATACAACCAGAGTTACCTAGGAGGAGAGAACCTCAATCAGATTAAGCTGTGACTATGTCTGTGAGGTATTACCTTGGTTGCCTACTGTGTGTAGCATCATCCTTAGGCAGGTGGCCCCAAACTGTATAAGACAGCTTGCTGAGTCTTGAGCCAGAGCGCAAAGAAGTAGGGAGTAGGGAGTGTTTCCCCAGAGTGTCTGCCTCAGTTCCTGCCCTGTCTTCCTTCAATGATGGATTGTGACCTGGGAGTGTAACCCAAATAAACCCTTTCTTCCCTGTGTTGCTTTTGGTCAGAGTCATAGCAACAGAAATGCTAAATAGAACAGTTATGTCTCCTTTACCAAACCATTATAATTAAAATTTTCTGGTGTAAGATGGCCTGAAAATCATTGTTAAATAAACAGAGATCCTGTTTTGTTCATGAATGACTCTATGCTAGTTCAAGCTACGTTGGTATTCCCACTCTCTCTCTCTCTCTCTCTCTCGCTCTCTCTTTCTCTGTGTGTGTGTGGGGGGGTGTTACATGTGAATGTGGGTACACACATGGCACAGTGTGCATCAAGAAGTCAACTTTCAGGAGTTGATTCTTAGTTTGCGCTTTGTTTGAGGCATTCTCTCTCATGGTTTCTGCCTCTACCCTGCATAGTCCAGGCTCCACCCTGCATACTCCAGGCTCACCAGCCAGGAAGTTTCTGGGTGATTCTTTTGTCTCTGCTCCTATCTCATTTTAGGAGTGCTGGGATTTCAGGTGCTACCGAACTTCTCCAGTTTATTAAACATGAATTCCAGGTCATGAGGCTTGCATGCCATTGCTCTTACCCACTGAGCGATCGCCTTGCTCCCTTTTTGTTTTAAACTACACCCCACAGTAGTTGAGATGCAGCTGGATATCTCTCTTGTATTCACATCTACTGCCACTTTAACTTGCTTGAACTTTAATTTGTTAAGTATTTATATTAAGGAAAATGGTCAGAACGTCTTCACATATAGACTGAATTTTCTAGCAGTTTTGTTAATGAAATGCTAGAAGACCTTTCTAAGTTGTAGGCTGAAAGTTCTCTAAGGGGTTGTATGGTGTCTTTGGCATATTTAAAACATCTGCTGGAAAAGTGGCTCCGGAACTCATGAATTCTGATAACAAAACTCTTAATTATGTTCACTGAAAGATACTTGGCTTCTGATCTAACCCAATTCCTCCCTGCTGTTAGTGGTTGGCTTGGCTTGGTTTGGTTTCATTTCCCTTTGGTCTAATAGGGATTTCAGCTAGGAACTCAAGGTGAATTTATCTATGATTCTTGTGAAATCTGTGTCTATCTGTATGTATATACACATGTGTGTCTATATTACTGTTAAAGTAAGATCCATCAATAGCTTTAAATAAGTTGTCTGTAATCTTAACCACCCCACTTTGTTACTTTAACTTTAATCATTCCCTTCCATTTTTATAGCACATATTTGGCATGATTGCACTCAGCATATACAGTAGTTCAGAATAATGTCCAAGTCTCCATTCATTCACAGTTTCTGAACACTTAGGAACCCAGAGTAATCCCATGTCCACTGTGGCCGGGAAGCTCTAAATGTCACTTGTCTGCTGACTTCCACCTACCTGCCATAATTCGGTGGCCTGCACTGCTGGTCTAATTGTCTTGATTTCTTGGCTTTCTACAATGCCATGGATGTTGAGTCATTTGATAGAGTCAATCTTCAGAACCCTGCAAGAGTACAAGTAAAGCCTGCCAGGGTTTAAAACAGTCGTTTCCAACTGGTCCTCCCTGGGGCTCAGAGGTTTGCCTTGGAAAGTCCCTCCCTATTGCATAGCAGGCAAGGTGGCCTAGTTCCTTTTCCCTACTGTCATTGCTCTCTGATCTTCTCAGTCATGTGCTTCAGACATTGTGGTACTACTTAAGGAGAGGATCTAGTGGCTAAATGATATTTTTAGAGAGATAGAAATTTAATGTCCATGATGTAAAAGCTTCCTTTACACATAGTATAATTTCTTCAAGACAAGGAAGCAAGCACTGGATTTCCATGCCTGATGGCTCTCTGTTATGATTGTAATAGTAATATGTAAAGACAATATAAATTTAGAAAAATGTACAAAATTCTGCTGCTTTTTCCAAAGAGAGAAGAAACTCCTTTCATATTCTCCAGGAGGTTAACTTTCCCCCCTAAACTCTAGGAGGGCACTAACAGAACTGAGGTCACAATGGAATGATTAGGAAGCTAAGATGGGGATGTGGGTCCCTCTAGCTTCCAGCTTCTGCTTTGTTGTCCCCAAATGTTCATCACAACAGCCAACAGCCTAGTCGAAGTACCCTAGCATCATTCTATTCCTGACTGGGAAAGACATGTTTTATTTCTAAACTAAACATGAAAAGGTAGAACATACAAAACAACAACAAAAATGCTCTTTTCATCCTAAATATCTCCCCCATCCCCCAGACAAGATTTCTGTGTATAGCCTTGGCTGTCCTAGAACTTGCTCTGTAGACCAGGCTGGCTTTGAATTCAGAGATCCACCTGTCTCTGCCTCCCAGAGTGCTGGGGTTAAAGGTATGAGCCACAACCACCCATGGCTTAAATATCGTATTTCTTAAGGAGGTTTTTAAGAAGGACCAATGATAAGAGAGGCAGAAAATGTGAACTTTAGGAAGATTTTTCCCTTGAGTCTGTGGGTTGCAGCTTAATCAAGAAAAGGTATGTTGACCATAATGTGACTTCCATGTCAGCCACACACCCACAAGATTTGGAGTTAAATGAGAAAAACCTAACATAAAACTCACAGGCCAAAGTGGAGAACCAGACAGACATGTACTTGAAGACAAGCTAGGAGATCATAAGAAAGGCATGATGTGCCACCAGAGGACAGAAGGGAACAAAACTTGCATCTAGGGTCTGGAAATGGAGGGTCACAGAAGGAATTGGATGACATATATTGCAACAGGTGACATTTTATGGGCTTTATAGAGAGACTAGTTTTTCTGTAAGCCCAGATAGGGTGAGGAGTTTTCCAACAGATGGAAATAGTGTGATTAAAGGCACAACAATTTGAATAGAAAGAACATGTTTGAAGAACAGCAAGAAGTCCAATTTAGATAGAGCACCAAAAGTCTGTTGAGAAAAGGGGAGGAGGGACTTGAATGGAAGGCTGGTTTGGTTAGCTGGTGCTAAATACACTTTCAAGGCCAAAGCTGGAGGCCATAATTGGAATTCACATCCAGACAGAAGAGCTAAAATCCCTTCAAGAAATGGGCGAACAGATGAGAACTTAAAAAGGACCTCAGTAGGTAAGTGTAGACACAGTTTCTGTCCTACCTGGTCCCACAGCCACTTTGCCCCAAATAAACACACAGATACTTTTATTAATTAGAAACTGTCTGACAGCTCAGGCTTCTTACTGGCTAGCTCTCTCTTAATTATTATCCTATTTCTATTAAACTATGTATTGCCAAGAAGCTGTGGCTTACCTGTGATCTGGCACGTTACTCCTTCAGCAGCATGGTGTCTCCCTGGCAACTTCTTTCTGTCTCCTCTCCCCAGAATTCTCCTCATCTGGCAGCCCCACCTGTACTTCCTGCCTGGCTACTGGCCAATGAGTATTTTATTCATCAACCAATAAGAAAAACATATATACAGAAGGACATCCCCCATCGTGTAAGGAACTCTGGGGAGATGCTACAGTAGAGATGAAAGGATACCCTACTAATCTGAGATTCCTGGGGGCAGAGTCTGAGCCCTACTGAGTGTTGTGACTGCACCTAGCCTTTTGATGAGTAGGGGTTTGAGTACTGCATGAGCATCAGGGGTAGATGATGACCATGGAAAGGAAGAACCAAGCAGGGCAAATTCAGGCAGTGAGGAAAATAAAGGGAGTCCAAATACCACCCAGTGGTCAAGGAAGAGAACAATTGGAATGGGAGATTTCAGGTGTCAACCCTCACTCTGGGGAAGAATATTTTCAGTTTGCTGCTTTCTACCCAGAGGCTAGGTGGTAAAGCATTGAGGAGCATGTATTAACAGCTTCAATGAATTCAGCACATCTTCTTTCAGTGTTGAATATTTTTTTTTGAAGTCAATGATGGGATGTAATTGAACTGGGTCAAATAGATATAATTAAG